GTAATACGATACGACCGGATATTGCGTCATTGATCAAATGTGATCAAATGTATCGTAGGGTTAGAGACCCAATACGCACTTTTGCATAATGCATAAAGCATGTGCATAAGGAATTTCATTGGTCCATTTTCTTATGCATGAGTCAATGGACCAATCAAATTCTGTATGTATATGGTTTATGCGTTATGCAAAAGTCTGTGCTCCCCGCTTTAAGCGGGGAGCACAGACTTTTGCATAAGGGTCTACGCACAATAGGAAAAATATTAGGAACAGATATTAAATATAATAATTTTAACCTGTTAGAAAGCGCACATTCCACAGTACACAGTTCTGATAGGTTAAAATTCTTACATTTAATATCTGTTCCTAATATTTCTCCTATTGTGCGCAGACCCTTACGCATAAAGCATGTGCATATCCAGAAATATCCAGAAAAATAGCGAATAGCAAAAGTCAATATTTGCGAACTAGATCGAAAAAAAAATAACTAGATCTAGCCAGAAAATAGCTAAGTTGGCAACACTGAGTCGTACACTAGCTGCGTTGAGAAAAGCGAAGACTGTCAACGTTGCGGATAGGAGTGAAAGAGAGACTAGACTGACAACTATAACAGGAGCTACGTAGCGTCAGGAGACGTGCGTTAGTGAGGTTAGAGGACGACCAACGCGTACACAATGTCTCATCAAAGTCGCAAATCGAATGGCAGATTCGTGAAAAAAAAAAAATTAGACAGTGAGTTAACACGTGCAAAAATTTTACTTACAGCTAGAAAAGTGAAAGCTGAAAAAATGTGCATGACACAAGCCGTCGAAAACGACAATATTTGTACGGGTTATCGTTTCGTTGATATGCAAGTGCTTGCAAAAAATTTGAAATGTTGCAAATGCACGAGGGTTCTCAGTTTACAAAATATAGTAACTGAAAGACGTTTAGGCCTTCACTCAATTCTAACAATTGCTTGCGAAGAATGTAAGATACAAACTATAGTTAGCACAGGGAAGACTGAAATGTATAATGGCCACAAGTATGCAGAAAGCAACTTATCACTTGTATTGGGTAAGTTTTAAATTCAATAATATTATTCAATGATGATAATACAATTATAATATATACTATATAATTATAATGCTTTTTTTGTAGGTGCTATACACAGTGGCGTTGGTTACACTGGATTAAAAAAATTATTAGCCTGTATGGATATCCCAGGTATTTCAAATGATCTGTATAAGCGATACAAAAAAGTAGTAAGAGAATTAATAGAGACAACTGCAAAAGACAGCTGCAAGAAAGCTACTGAAGAAGAACACCGCCTAATGATTAGGAATATGAAAAAGCTGTGAAGAGTTGTAAGGAGTTATATAAGGATCTAAGTCGATTTTGCGTCCCCTAAAATATGTAACAATCGACTCACTTGGGGACCAACTCAAAATAAACTTAGGTCTTCGTTCCACGCATCCTTTCAAATTTATACAGAACACAATATTTTCGACTGCGTAGCACTATTTCTGAAAAAATGTTTATGCAATGGTTTTATTTTAATATAATAATTGAATCAAAATACAAAGTAAGAAATGCCAATGGCCTGGTTTACATCGTGCACTTGATACGCGTACTAACTAGTTACTTTCTATTAAATTATCTTAATTTCAGCAATGTATTTAAAGAATGATGTATAAAATTGATACAATACGCATCAAAATGTTTAACTAAATACGTTTATTGTGTATACATTTACATATATCGTTGAAATTAAGATAATTTAATAGAAAGTAACCAGTTAGTACGCGTATCAAGTGCACGATGTAAACCAGGCCAATAAGAGCCGACACTGGATATTGATGTGTATTCGATTATTAAAAAACAATAAGTACATATTTATGATTAAGGTCCTTTTCAATGGGCGCATTCAGCAGAAAAGAGCGCTACTAGAGCGCTCGCTGTTATTGGTATATTCTTCCAGATTTAAAATTCTGATTGGATGATCTAGAAGAATACATCAACAACTTTGAGCGCTCTAGTAGCGCTCTTTTCTGCTGAATGCGCCCAATGTTGATAAAGCTAGACAAATTTTAGATATAACGCAAACGCTTTGTTCTTAAAATAGTATATAGTTAAATTAGTAATGTCCATCAAGTAGTCAAATCTTGTTCATTAAAGTGGTAAATTTACTAAAAATAATTCGGTTCGTTATTATAAAAAAGACATGGATCAATAACACAAAAATATAATAGAAGTAAAAAATGTATATGTAAGGGTTGGATTATACTGGCCGTAATCTGTTAACTTATGCCGTAATTTGTAAAAATTGACCAATTATAATCGATTATTCCCCTCTCATTCGACTGTGATTGGTCAATTTTTACAGATTACGGCATAAGTTAACAGATTACGGCAAGTATAAATCAACCCTAAGGCTAGAAACACACACTTTTGCATAAACGCATAAACCATATACGTAATGAATTTGATTGGTCCATTGACTCATGCATAAAAAAAATGGGCCAATAAAATTCCTTATGCATATGCTTTGTGCGTTATGCAAAAGTCTGTGCTCCCCGCTTAACACTCACATAACAATTAAGATTTGATCACATAGAAATTTAAAAAATAAAAAAGGCGATCCATTAAATTAGTCGATTTACTATACGAATAAAAATGTGTAGTTAAACAATGATTTAAATAAAGGCCTAATGACGGTCAAGCAAGATTTAGGTTGCTACAGTAATGTGTGAATTTTATTTACCACGTATGTAGTTTCCTTTAATCGCGCGCCGAAATATTTTCAGACTTTTTACAAACGCAACTTCTAAACAACTACCGTAGTAATATCACTAGTTAAATTGACACGCAATCTAACTAATATTTGATGCTTTACAGCATTTTATTGGATCTTAATAATATGTTGAAAGACATATATTAAAATTTAACGATTTGTTATTAATTAATGTAAATTAAATTAATAATAAATCAAATTTTATGAAAAATAAGATTGCGAAGAATATCACAAGTTGGCGTTTCGTCCCAGTTTCCACTATTAGACTCATCAGTAAGGTATTGTAATGGAAACCTACCTTAGACGCCTGGGGGAGATATTAAAGAAGTTCTATATAAACGGATACTTGTGTATCTTAGCACTTGCGAGAAAAGCAAGCGTAACTATAGACCTCTATAGGCTGATCGACGTGGTGATATTCTTCACAATGCTTCCGTTATTTTAAGTAATTAATAACGTATTTTTTCAGGCACGTTGATTCTAAAATTACAATATTTGTAGGACCGTTAGTATTCAAACAATGATTAAATAAAGGCCGAATGACGGTCAAGCGCGATTAAAGAAAACTACATACGTGATAAATAAAATTCACACATTACTGTAGCAACCTTAATCTTGCTTAACCGTCATTAGGTCAATCATTTATTTAAATCATTGTTTGAATTCTAACGGTCCTACAAATTTTGTAATGTGTAGTTAGTTGATTATGTGTAAAACAGAATATTTTTGTGTAAAACAAGTAATTTTAACTTACATGTGTTGCCGATGTATGATAAATATGACTTATATTGTACAGTGTCGCAGAGAGAGTGAAATCATTTCATTGTAAAGTCTTGTGTCCACGATGTTAGAAATCGGTCCAAGATCTCGGATGAAGAAAGAATTAACAAATCGCATTTGAACCATTTGATCACATGACCAATGTAATTGGTCAATTTTTCCTTCATCCGAGATCTTGGACCGATTTCTAGTATCGTGGACACAAGGCTTAACAGATACAGTTTCGTCATATTACAATGTCAAGTACATAAAAATAATAATTAAGATATTGAAATAATAAATATATATATAAACAGATTGACAATAACAAAATATAAACCAAATGGAAATTAGAGTCCTAGATATCAGAGAAGCGCAACCGGCTTGAGTCAGTATCGCAAAATTACTAAGAAAAGTTAAAATTACTAAAAATGGCGTCGTTTGCAGACGAAATATGAAATCCACCAATCGTCTATTAGTCAGCCATTTTTAATACCACTGAATGAATGTCATGATTGGCTGACACTGCTGACAGTCAGCTAATCAGGACGCCGAACATCGGTTGCGCTTCTCTGATATCTAGTAGCACATTCGATACATATGCACTAACACGATTCTAGTGCTGCCCTGACACGGTACTGCCCTGACACGGTGCTGCTCTGACACGATGCTGCCCTGATACGGTGCGAGTGCAAAACTACACTAATTAATAATTTAATTAATAATTTAATTTTTAATTAATAATAATAATCAATAATAATAAAATAATAATAATAATTTAATATTTTTATTTTTAATTAATTTTCGGCCTTTCTTCTTTTATTAAACGTAACATATTTTCATCATCACTACTACCACTACTTGTTTCTAATAATTTATCTATAATAAATAATAGTCTTTCTTTATCCATTTTGTAATTTTTTGCTGCCTAACTAGTTTTATTTGTCCGAACACCAAACTGCACTGATAAAAATGTCAGTGCAATATTTCTTGCACGTTCGGTTCATTCGGTTGGTCCGAATACAAATTCAGCACTACACTAGGTCAGCTTTCATTTACCGAATACGACAGTCTAAGCGTACTGATACGGTGCGCACATTCCGAATGCGTGGCACCAAAAAAGTTCGCACTCAGTGCGCACTGGTGCGCACTAGTGCAATATGTCGAATTCGCCATAGGACTCTGATTTGTATGTACTACATCAAATTAATCTAAATGTAATAAAAACTTTAAAAAATAGACCATAATTGTAATGCATTGTAAAATAAAAAGATAAGAAAATATAAGCTTATGTAAATATTGTATAAGAGGCATTCCATACCAGATCGGACGGACTTCTGGGTCGAGGTCTCAGATTTTTTTCAAATTTTACAGTATTAATCTATACTATGATAGGAGCCCAAAATAATTTTTTCAGATTTTTAAAGCCACTTTTCGAATTTTGGTGGTGTTTTGAAAAAAAATATTTTTTTAAATTGTATTTTTTAAAATTATTTTTTGTGCTGCTAATTATTAACCAAAAAATCTGAAAAAATTCATATAAGTTCTTCATTCGAGATTAGTTTTAAGATAAAATTTTGAAAAAAAAATCACGTCTAAAATCAAAAAAATAAATAATTTTTTTCCCAAAAAATTGATTTTTTTACAATTTGCCCAACAGCTAAAATTTTAAAAAAATTCACACATATTTTTGGAACCCTTAGACATATTCTCAGAAAATATGAAATTGGACTGCGCTAAATTCCCTAACTAATTTAATTTTTAATATAATTTAATTTTTAATTTTTAATTTCATTTAATTTTTTCTCTGGCCAAAATTTTTCTAAAATTTTTACTATACATCAAATAACTTTCTTTTTATGTTTTCTTGAAATAAAAATAATCATCAACATTTTTTCCTGAAAAATTAATTTTTCATTTAACATTTTTATCCTCTTGTCTAATTTTTTTGAAATATAATTGGAAATACCATTTTAATGATGTAATTGATTCGAAGAAAAAGTTTCCAACTATTATAATAAACAGTATATGAAACATACTTTTAGTAATTAAACATTTTAGAATATGGTATTATATTACATTTTCCATTTCTAATTCCTCGTTTCTTTCGTATGATTTATTTTCTGATTTGCTCCGTTTTTTCTTTCGTATAATGTATGCTATTGCTATTGCTATTATTATTACTAGTAGTACAGAAAATCCGCTTGTTGCCATTGGGTAAATAAAGTGTTCTAATTGAAAATTTATATTTTCGTTTTTATCAAGTTCATTTTTTTCTTCTTTTAATTTTATTTTGAGATCATCTAGTTTTGAATGATTTTCAGTAATGTATTTTAGTTTCAATTGTTCATCTATATTTGAATTTACTTTAAGATTTGTTTTATCTTCTATTATGGATATATTATATTCTAGTAAGAATGACTCTATTACCGTCTCATGTGTCATCTTTGGTGACTGTAACGTTGCGTCAGGTGTGATTACTTTACATTCGTTTCTTACTGTTATTTTACCCGTATTTTCAATCATTCTTTTTATTTTTCAGTGGTCTTTACATTGTATATAAATTTCTTCTGTTTTCGCAGTCGTATATAACCAAGAGTGTGGATTATTTAACGGTATCCATAGGGTATTATTTATTATCGTTTTTTCTACTTTACAATTTGTATTATATTCGGTGTTTCCTAAATATATTTCTATTTCGCATGTTGAATTATTTTATTATTTTTATTCTTAATTTTCTATATATACTTTTAAGCGATTTACGTGTGTGTCAGTAAATTTTTCGTAAGTAATACTTATTTGATTTCGTGACATCCCTTCCCCTTTGGGAAAAGGAAATGAGGCTACGAATTTCTTTAAATTTTATTATACATATGTTTCCCGGATCACAATTATTTTATAATCGTTTTTTATTTATATGGCTTTTTTAATTTTAATA